TCAAAGACAAACAATTTTCTTTCACAACTGAATGCTTACATTTTGTTCAATAGATCCGATTCGTAAATTTAAGAATTTGTCGGGATAAAGAATAAAGGATAGACCTATTTGTGCGGATAAATTGGATTTTCTGACGTCACTGGTTAGACCTTGCATCAGGTGACAAGCGTGAGATTTATAACACGAGATGGAGTCGATGTCTGACAACATATATTTTACAACATTAATGTTACAACATAGATCTTAAAACATAGATCTTACAACACAGATCTTATATGATACATGTAGATCTTACAATTTAGGTCTAACAACATAGACATAGATCTTACAACATAGATCTTACAGCATAGACATAGATCTTACAATATTGATCGAACAACATAGACATAGATCTTACTACATAGATCTTACAACACAGATTTTATAACATAGACCTAGATCTTACATAACATAGACATAGATCTTACAACATAGATCTTACAACATAGATCTTACAACATAGATCTTACAACATAGAGCTTACAACACATATCTTATAACATAGACATAGATCTTACATTATAGACATAGATCTTACAACATAGATCTTACAACATCGATCTTACAACACAGATTTTACAACATCGATCTTACAGCAGAGATCCTACAACAGAGATGACATGGAAATAAATAAATTAAGACACCCCCTGACCTACTTACATGATCCAGGCTATTCTCTCTGCAAAGTTCTTCTTTGCCACGAGCTGAGTTGTTATCTTCTCAGTTAAAGCAAACACCAAGCACAATCCATGAAAATTTTCTTAAGAGGTGTACGTGATATACTGAAATTTTTGTGAATTTAAAAGTGTTTGAAGAAAGGAAAAGATATTAACCTACTTTCTCTTCTTTCTTACATAAAAATTTCGCTTTAGATACTCTCTATGCCTTTGTGTAGGTTAGGCTCTACACACTTAGGGAATAAAATGGTGGGTTATCATTAAGGTATGGCACAGTAGATAGGGATTGAGGGATTGTGTGAGACAAGGGTAGGAGCTGGAGTTGGAGGAAGGGGCGTCGCTAGGTTTTTTTGCCCCCTCCCCCCACTTTTCCACAAAAAAATCCTCTGCATCAGACCAAAAAGGCCACCCATCTATATTGGGAAACAATTCCACCTAAAACTGACCCCCCCTGACCCCCCCCCCCCCACACACACACACACTTCTCGCTCGCCACNCGACACTTAAACGGCTTGAAAGAAATTCAAAAGAATTTCACAGATTTGTTTTATTAAATTTTTTTTTTGGGGGAGGGGGGGGGGGGGGATGATCGTTAATTTATTCGTTTGTTTAAATTTACCCGACCCAATGGCCCGATACAAAAATCTTTTAGCAACGTCATAAGCCGGAGTCAAACTAATACATCACAATCACAAATATGGTATAGAGCTGTTCATAGGTTTCGTGGTCAGTGATGTTGTCTTTATGACGAGTGTAGACAAAAATAACCATGTAGGATAAGATTGCGGGCTAGCGCATGCCGCAGGCTTAGAGATTATGTTATACGTTTTTGTGCGTCTTGTCTTGTCTTCTTTGTTTCCAGCCTCTTTTTTTAGTATTAAAATTGTAATCTTTAAATTAGCGTTAAAAGTAGAATTATTTACTTTTTTAAAAAAATCATGGAATGCTTACAAAATACAGGTTCAAGTGATTTAACTCTGCACCTAGGTATAAAACTAGAAAGTAGATCCGAGCTCACCTGCCCCACGCAATCACTCAACGGAGCAGACACGGTCAACCACGATCATTTAAGAAATATTCTGTCTTAAAATGTCACGTGTGTCAGCGAAAAAAATACCCCCCCCCCCCCCCCCCCCCCCCCCCCCCCTTTTCACCCCCAAGGTTGAAATGAAAGTAAAAGGAATTTTTTAAATATATTTATAAAACTTAAATAATAGAAAGGGAGAATATCCAAATATATTTTTTTTTCACAATAATTACACTTGCTATTTCCCCTGTTTTGATCGTCATTTCAGTCAGACTAGTAAAAAATGAAACGTGCAACAGATAACAAATGGATGGTGTATGTACCTTTCAATAGACAAGAAATATGGGGCCTCTCCACCTACTGAGGCCCTCAGTAAATGGTGGGCCTATCGACCTACTGAGGACCCCAATAAATGGTGGGCCTCTTGACACACTGAGGCCCCCAATAAATGGTGGGCCTCTTGACACTCTGAGACCACCAGAAAATGATGGGCCCCTCGACATAATCATGCCCCTAGTAAATGATGGGCCCATCAACATACTGAGACTCCCAGTTAATAATGGGCCTCACGACATACTGAGGCCCCAAGTAAATGATTGGCCTCTCAACTTACTAAGCCTCCCAGTAAATGATGGGCCTCTTGACACAATGAGCGCCCCCCCCCTCCCCCAATAAATGGTAGGCTTTCCGACATACGTATCCCCCAGTAACATACTGACCCCCTAGTAAATAAAAAAATAATAATTATATCTTATTTAATTTGATAACATGTTTTATTTTCGAAAGTTCACTCCACGAGAAATATTTATAAAAAATAAATAAATTGCAAAGTCAAGGCAACATTTAAAAAACTACAGGACCTACTACAATGAACTATCACTATCTCTGACCGTGTCTACTACAATGAACTATCACTATCTATTGCCGTATCTACTACAATGAACTATCACTATATATTGCCGTGTCTACTACAATGAACTATCACTATCTATTGCCGTGTCTACTACAATGAACTATCACTATCTATTGCCGTGTCTACTACAATGATCTATTACTATCTATTGACAATCATACGTTATGTCTCCCTATGTTGACTGTACTCAGAGACTTTCATATCGCTGTTTGACCATGCATCCCCAAAGAAACATAAGAATGTAAACACGTAATAATTGTCAATGTCATAGTGGCTTGTCATTTGGGCAATAAATCCCATGCCAGTGTGTCAACGAATCCCATGTCTGTGGGGCTACAAATCCCATGTCTGTGTGGCCAGGAATTCCATGTCTGTGAGGCAACAAATCCCATGTCTGTGGGGCAACAAATCCCGTGTCTGTGGGGCAACAAATCCCATGTCTGTGTGGCCAGAAATTCCATGTCTGTGAGGCAACAAATCCCATGTATGTGGAGCAACAAATCCCATGTCTGTGGAGCAACGAATCCCATGTCTGTGTGTCAACAAATCCCATGTCTGTATGGCCAGAAATTCCATGTCTGTGAGGCAACAAATTCTATGTCTGTGGGGCAACAAATCCCATGTCTGTGGGGAAGCGAATCCCATGTCTGTGTGTCAACAAATCCAATGTCTGTATGGCCAGAAATCCCTATGTCTGTGGGGCAACAAATCCCATGCCTGTGGGGCAACAAATCCCATGTCTGTGTGGTCAGAAATTCCATGTCTGAGGGGGAAAAATCCCATGTCTGTGGGGCAACAAATCCCATAGAATTTAAATTTTGAAGAGATTTACTGAGCTTGATAACCCTTCACATGCTTTTAACTGAATTCGGGTGCGCCAAGGAAGTCTAAAGCAAACTTATTTATGTTGTATTGTATCGGAATATCATTCCAGCTGTAACAGAGGTCTGCAGTGAGCTTGTTATTTCAGGTCACTCCACGTCATCAAAAGAAAAGATCTCTCTAATAACGACCTTTGATTGACTGCCCCCCCCCCCTTTAGTCTTAGTTCAATGATTTTTTTTTCATTCGACCCCCTGACCCGACTCAAACACACACACACTCACACAAACACGATATTTCAAAATTGACTTGTTGTCAGAATGAAAACCTAAATCAACTGATTAGAAAGTAACCAATGTTTTTAGTGTTTCATTATTTCATAACAGTGAGTGGTAATTCGTGATACAATAAAATGATGCTCAGCGTATTTTCATCCCTAAAATCTCTTTCTTTACATTGACCTTGTTTGAAAATGCCGCACACCGCTTTAGAGAGAACAAGCCCCCCCCCCCTCAAATGGGGTAGCGCCACCCTATCCCATCCTGTTTCCTACGCCACTATGTCCAAACACCGCGGATGTCTGGCACCGGTGTGTCTTCTACAGTGCTTCTCAACCTTCCTAATGCCTCGACCCTTCAATACAATTCCTCATGTTGTGGCGACCCCCAACCACAAAATTTATTTCGTTGCCACTTTATGACTGTAGATTATATGTGTTTTTCGATGGTCTTTCGCGACCCCTGTGAAAGGGGCGTGCGACCTCCAAATGAGACCCACGGGTTGAGAGCCGCTGGTCTACTAGAATGGACAGATAGCCTGCTGACGTCCCGTCATTAGGGGGGGCGTCATGGCGAGGGACGAGGGTAGACGTTGACCTTTCTCACGCCGTCTGCTACAACTGGAAATGTCACTCAGCTCACTCATCTTTTACATCAGTGAGTCTCAAAGGTGTCAAACAGATGTGCCACTCCCACCCCAGGGTCTGCGGCTCGCTATGAGATGAGTGTGCCAAATGTGTAAGAAAAAGACAAAGACATTAAGAAAAAATGACAAAGACATTAAGACAAAAAGACAAGGACATTGAGACAAAAAGACAAGGACATTAAGACAAAAAGAAAAAGACCTTAAGACAAAAAGACAAAGACATTAAGACAAAAAGACAAAGACGAAAAGACAAAGACAAAAAGACAAAAAAGACCAAGATTAATTGATCAACAATACAGAAAACTGTTGGGCTTCATTTCCTAAGACCTAAAACATAATGCTATTCTTTTTTCTTCGTCAAATTTCGGAACTTTTCACTTAATAAATTAATTTGAAAAAAACAACAAGCAAAAAAAAAAGACTGTTTCTTTGAAAAGTTTGAAAGAGTTTCAAACGACCCCAGGTACATATTAAAGCGATTGAGAGCACTGATCTAAATGGCTGTGTTGGGCGGTACATCAACACCTCGAGAACCACTCAATTAAGAATGCGTTGAGTTGAATGGTGTATTGCATTTAATACCGAGATTCTTTCCTTTGCGGTGCACGGCTGTTCTAATGTTTAGACCAACGTAGCGAGTGAGGCTTCCCACCAGGGCCTGCTACTCCGTGAGGCTTGTCACCAGGGCCTGCTACTCCGTGAGGCTTGCCACCAGGGCCTGCTACTCAGTGAGATCTCAGTTTGAAGCTTTGTTTATTCGTTGTTTGAATGACAATGTGAGTTTCATAGTTTACAAATACTTTTTTAATATTATATTATTTATATATGTATTAGATTATTTATATATGTATCAGAGAATATATATAAGTATTAAAGTATTGATATATTTATTATAGTATTTACATATACATTCGAGTACTTATGTATGTATTAGAGTATTTATATATATCCGAGTATTTATATATGTATTAGAATATTTACATAAAGAGTATTTATATATATATATATATATATAAATATATATATATATATATATATATATATATAAGATTATTTATATATATATTATAGTATATATATATAAATTATAATATTTATATTCTATTTTTATATATATATATATAAATATATATATAAAGAGTATTTATATATATATATATATATATATATATATATATATATATATATATATATAAGATTATTTATATATGCATTAGAGCATGTATAAATGAATTAGAATATTTATATTCTATTTAACGTACAATGAAGTAGATAAATTAAAAACCTTTATTTTTCAGGTCCAGTCGTGGTGATGAGCCAGTCGCAGATGTGGATGTCACGACGACCCCCTGCACGTCAGACACCACACACCTGCTGCCAAGACTGGTGGAGTTGGCTGACAGGTTAAATAATAATAAAGGAATTAATGTGCAAATGTGTACGCAGGGGCGAACTAAGGTGCAGGGTGGTATAGTAGTCTTTAAATGGACCCCTCGTCATTTTGATCTGTGATCCGCTACTGAACGCCTCGGGGGTGTCTCTCGTCAAAACATTGACATTATCCATGGATACATGGCAGTTGTGACAACCGGTCATTAAATGAGGATTCATAGGATCTTTGTTCCCAAAACTGTCCCCATTGACACATGATGGATACATTTATTTGATTTATTTATCACAGTTTTACAACAACAAAAAAAAGAACTAACAAAACTATTTTAAAATGGGTAGCGTTGTTTTGTTGCGTTCCTTTCTTCAGGTTGAACCATTCTTTGTTTTACTCATTTTATATTTTGCAACGGTCAAGTTATTAAAATTGGTGATTTTTTTTCTAGCAACCAGTTTTGTGTCCATGTCAAATTCTGTTAAGTGTTCATTTCTTTTGGGGCACACTCTTAGAGCGAGTGAACAGTTGATTTCAGATTTGATCATCATTACAATTCTGAACTCAACATCAATTCATCGTATAAACATCAATTCATCGTATCAACATCAATTCATCGTATCAACATCAATTCATCGTATCCACATTAACTCATCGTATCAACATCAATTCATCTTATCAACATCAATTCATCGTATTAACACCAATCCTTCTAAATAACTTTTTACTTTTGCGAAATTACAAAAGAAAAAAAACGTAGTTGCGCAGTGAACTGATGACGTCACTTTTCCAATTATTGTTTGAATATATTTTTTCAGATTTGGGAATAAATTTTACGTCGGAAACGCCGGTGACTACTGGCACCCACCATTCCCCATCGGTGCCGACCACGACTACAGGACACACGTTCGTCAGATTAGAGACATGGAGATAAGGGATGACGACATCATGATCTGCTCCTACCCCAAAACAGGTCTGGAGAAATACTAAAGTACATTACAAAAGCCACAACTATTTCTTTGATTTGACAATAGAGATCTTGTGACCTGTGCCATGCGTGACCAAGTTTACATTGTGCAAATGAAAGCAGAAGATCAATGACGTGGCAAAGGATAGTGCCAACCGACGGGAGGGGGAATTTTTTATTTTTTTTTTGCAGCGCCCGCCCCCCACCCCCACCCAACAAATTATGCATTTCGCGGAAAAGTCCATCCCGTTAAATATACAGACAGAATAGTGGCGCCCAGGGTGGGCCTACTTCTCTGCCCGCACCCCCTTTTCCATCTTCAACGGGAACAATGCCATAACAGATTTAAAAATTTAAGAATATTTCCATATCATCACTTGAGGCTCAACACTTGAAAGAATGTGTTGTCATCGGCATCGAATCTATGGGCCAACTTTCAGCTCGATAGGTTGATGGGAAATGCGGCATTGAACCGTCCGAAGATTTTGCCCTAAACATACAAAAGCGAAGTTCATATAAAAGATTTTTTTTTTAAAGAACAAAACAAATGCAATTAAAAAATTTTAATAATAAAATTTATACCTTTATATATATATATATATATATATAACTTTTCACAGCACTCCCATGAATTCCTACATTTCCTATAAACGTGTGTGCTCTGTTGGGTACCCACTCCTTGAGGCTCGACGGGTACCCAGGTAACCGACTCAAAGGTCAAATAAAGAGAGGCCTGCAGAGATTGATGTTAAAGGGATTCCCTTGACTTGCAGGGGCGCCGACTCCCTTTAAAAAAAAAAAAGAAACTCTAATTTCTTTTTCTATACTTCGAGGCCCACGATCAATGAATTGATCAATCTGGTTCCTATGTTTCAGAGGGGTTTGCGATGCAACTGTGCATGGTTTTGAAAGGGATGCTTCACTGGTTGCAAGGACTGTTCGGCAATGATATTGTGAACTAGGGGTTGGAAGACAGGAGTCAATAGGCTTTGTCATTTCTTAGACCGGAAAACGTCATAGGGTACTATTTTTAGAAGGTCAGTGGACAAATATTGCTTAAAACATGGCAGCTTATAGTGTGTTTCAGCATATCGTTCGGACGATCCTTGTATCTCGAGTTACTGTTACATTTGCCGTTCAAGCAATGAAGTCGCATTTCAGAAAATAGAAGAAAAAAAAAATGTGTAAAATATTTCGTAAAATAGAGTTGTAAACAAGTTTCAGGGACACTTCGCTAACATAGTAATACTGAACAGTGTTGACATTTTGTCCGCGCTGAGCACCCGGATGATGAGTAATAATGACATCAGTTCTATTAATAGATTTCCGCCATTAAATGACAAGCCCTATAGACGCAAATGTGTCAAAAGTAGTCACCTTAACTGTTGCTGTTGGGAACTTGTTCCAGTTCCGTATTGTCTTTGGCAGGAATGAGCAGTTCCTGTACTGTATTCTTGGTTGTATGATCCGGAACTGCTTGTCGTGGCCTCGGTATCTGAGACACGGCGACTTAGTTCATTTTAAATCTGCAATTATTTTTTCTAAAGGATGTACTTTTAATTTCTATATTTTTAAATAATTTTTAAAGTAACCTTCATATCTTAAACATATGAGTCTGTAAAATATGATTTCTTAAATATTGATGCCCCTACGATTTTGGAGGCCCTAAGTTTAAGTCTACATAACCTATAGAGAAATCAAACCCTTTGTGGAGTGTTTTGGGGTTTTAAAAAAAAGGGAGGTTGGGGGGGGGGGGTGAGTGGTGGGGTTGATGAACATTGTTTTGACCGATCCTGGCCTCCATGATTTCACTAGGGGGCCACTGGCAACAAGAAATCATCCACATGCTGGTGTACAAGACCACGCGCATGTGTAGTGAAGGAGAGAAGGCGTTCTGCTTCATCGACTTCAGCCCCGTGTCAACTTTCGCTGACGTGTCCTCGCCGAGATTGCTCGTGACCCACGTGCCCTTCAGGTAACCTGACCGTGACCTTGTCTTGGGGGTGCTGACAGTATCTAGGATTTGACCCTCGGGCACGGTGTCTTGTCTTTAAGTCCATGGGCTCACTGAAACATTATTTGAATAGAACTAATTATTTTCTAAAAAGTTAAACTTTTTTTCTATTAAATAATGAATTATTTTCACGTCTGTTTTAGATTAAAATCTAAAACTGAATAAAAGTTTATTTCAAAACGTATATTTTTATATACTTTATAAATAATAGAAACAGAGATGAACACATTCAAAAAAAGGGGCGTGGGACAGGCTTGTCGGACTAAATTTAACACTTTTAAGCCGCACCGAAAACATGGAAGTTTGTATTATAGAAACAAGCTGCGCGTTCAATTGAGGTTCCACATGCGTCACTGGGGTTGGTGTCACCCCAACCTAGACGTCCTCATAGACCTCCCTCGAGTATGCCTGCTCATATGACTCCCTAACTATCCAGTGGCACCCTGTTCTGGAGGCATCCTGCTCTTGTATTTCATTTAGATCTGTTGTGACTTCGACTCATGGAAGCTTTGTTAAATTATTTTTTGTTTCCCTATTTTCTCACCTCACTGGGAGGGTGCCGTTACGGTCTGCACCCCACCCCCCCCCCCCCCCCCCCCCCGCACACCCAAGTGACGCTGCTGTTTAACGAACAATCGCAGTGGACTTACTTCTCCCTTCTTCTTTCCCATTTTGCCAGCATTAAATCTCTGACCTACTTATGTTCTGTCTCTTTCCTCTTGCCAATCTCTCGGAAACCACATTTTAAGCTAAGTGTTATTTTTAAATTTAATTCTGTTTTAGCTGTTGTTTGTTCGCTGGTGAAGGCTTCTTGCCGACACGTTCGTTGTTTTGTTGCATTATTGTTTTCAGTTTTTTCCATACTTTGTTTCACTCATTTCCTTTTTCGCTAACCCGATTAGTCGTCGTCCATCCCCCACCCCCCACTTCTTGCCATTTTATAGATCAGCACACGCTATTTTCCAGGTACCTCCCCAGGCAAGCGTTCCAGAAGAAGATTAAAATAATTTACCTGGAGAGAAACCCCAAGGACGTCCTGGTGTCCTACTACAACCAACTTCACAGTCATGTGCCTCCACTTCACTACCCGGGGACGTTCGAACATTTTTTTCGTCTCAACCTGGAAGTGGGCTGTAAGTTTTCTGTCTTTCTTAAGTTCAGGGCCATGGGACAGGGACCACAATGTCAGTGAATTATGTGATTTAAATCACAGCTCCTACCACCACCAGTGGTTGATTCTAAGAGAACCGGTCGCGCGTGAAGAGGGGAAGACACCAAACGTAGTTTGGAGGCAACTCAATTTACGAATTGAAAGTTATATTTTAAAAAAATATGTTATTTCGCTGTTAAGTCATTGTTATTTCACTCTTATTTGACTGTTATGTCATTGTTATTTCACTGTTATGTCATTGTTATTTCACTGTTATGTTATTGTCATTTCAATGATATGTCATTGTTATTTCACTGTTATGTCATTGTTATTTCACTGTTATGTCATTGTTATTTCACTGTTATGTCATTGTTATTTCACTGTTATGTCATTGTTATTTCACTGTTATGTCATTGTTATTTCACTGTTATGTCATTGTTATTTCACTGTTATATCATTGTTATTTCACTGTTCTGTCACTGTTATGTCATTGTTATTTTAAACAAACCAAGAACCGAGCCTTAAACACCCCATTTCCCTTACAAAATGCCAAGGAAAAAAAAATAATTTTGCAGGCTAACTTTTATTTCAAACATATAGCTCTTTTAGTCAACTTAATTGAGGCTGTGCATAATATGAACACCCTTTATCCCCCCAAACTTGCCTCTCAGATTTCTTGGCAATAGTTTTTCATGACTTAAATAAATTCAGTATTATTTTGTGTCTTAATGGGCAAAATTAATCAACTTTTCTTATTTAAAACAGCCGAGGCTATTGATAAACGGACAAAGTAAATATTTACAAAATATGTATAGATAATGCATGTATTAAAAAGATCTCTGTAGGTATTAAAAAGATCTCTGTAGGTATTACAAAGATATCTGTAGGTATTAAAAAGATCTCTGTAGGTATTAAAAAGATCTCTGTAGGTATTAAAAAGATCTCTGTAGGTATTAAAAAGATCTCTGTAGGTATTAAAAAGATCTCCGTAGGTATTAAAAAGATCTCTGTAGGTATTAAAAAGATCTCCGTAGGTATTAAAAAGATCTCTGTAGGTATTAAAAAGATCTCTGCCTGAACTAAAAAGAACCGTCCCCCATCCCCTCCCCATTACAGTCGTTTACGGGGACCTGTTTGACTACCTGATGGAATGGCAGAACGGTCGTGAAGCCCACCCTGACCTTCAGATCTGCACGTCTGTTTACGAGGATATGAAACTTGTAACAAAACTGTTTGTCCCGTTAAAATCTGGTTGAATTCGTTCATTAATATTACATTTATTAGCATATAAAACCAGTGCGTGTTCCGGTGCCATTAGCACTGACAGAAAAATAATATTCACAGCAGTTATATGCACACCAGCTATATGCTCATCCGTTATATGCACATCAGCTATATATACACTAGTTATAAGCCCAGCAGTTATATACACAGCAGTTATATGCACAGCAGTCATATGCACAGAAGTCATATACACAGTAGTTATACGCACAGCAGTTATATGCACAGCAGTTATTTTTCACAGCAGTTATATGCATGACAGTTATTTTTCACAGCAGTTACATGTACAGAAGTTACATGGGATCTCTCGGGGAAGGTTCGCAGAGCTAGCTGCTCTGCTTCATAGGTTATTTCTCTTGTTTTTAAAAAAAAATTCAAATGATTTTAATACATAAAATGAGATGATTCTGCATTGTTACTTTTTCTTAGGGCAAAAAAATTACTTAAATCGTGAGCTGGCTTAATTATACAAAATATACAACACACTGAATGGGATAGCCTGACAAAAAGATACAACACACTGAATGGGATAGCCTGACAAAAAGAGGCATCACAACAAAAAAGCGAACAAAGCAATACAAAAATCGTGTGGGGAAATGAATATACGTACAAAAAGAAAAAAAAGAAAAAGAGGCTGTTTTCGAGAGAACTGTCTTTTGAAAATCAGGAACGGGGTGGGGGTGTTGTTTTTCGTTTTGGCGGGGGGGGGGGTACTCGAAAATGCGTATGAAAGTAAAATATGTGCAAGTGTTCTAAGAGCCAAATTTTGAATCGTGCGTCTTTTAAAAATGGCCAGGATCCTGTCGAGGGAGGGGAGAGATTCAATATTATTTATTTTTATTTTTCGGTTTGGGGGGGGGGGGGTACTCGAAAATGCGTATGAAAGTAAAATATGTGCAAGTGTTCTAAGAGCCAAATTTTGAATCGTGCGTCTTTTAAAAATGGCCAGGATCCTGTCGAGGGAGTGGAGAGATTCAACGCCTACCTGTGCACTGGCTGCAGTGATGAGCTGTGTGAGGAGATCGCTGCGGCTTGCAGTTTCGACAGGATGAAGAGTCACAAGGACGCCACGACGCCGGCTTGGCTGAAGGCGATGTTCAGAGAGAAAAAACTCGAGTTTTACAGAAAAGGTTGGCGTTATGAGTTAAGGCTTTCTCTGTCCAGGACTCTGTCTAAATTACGTCCCTTTCGCCTTAGTTTCTGCCTCAGCCTTTCCTGGCGACGAAATCAGGGCTGTTTTGAAATGTCATATTTTGGGCCAACACTTTCAAAAATGTCATATTTTGGGCCAACACTTTGAAAAATGTCATATTTTGGGCCAACTCTTTGAAAAATGTCATATTTTGGGCCAACTCTTTGAAAAATGTCATATTTTGGGCCAACTCTTTGAAAAATGTCATATTTTGGGCCAACTCTTTGAAAAATGTCATATTTTAGGCCAACTCTTTGAAAAATGTCATATTTTAGGCCTATTGATTGGAGGTGTCATTTTACAGGCCCATTGCAAAAAAAAAATCATTTATTAGACCTACTGTTTGAAAATATCCTACTTTAGGCCCTCTGCATTAAAAGATATGTTAGGCATTCCGTCAGAGACTAACAAATTTTAGGCCGATTATGTGGGTATGTCATATTTTAAGATTATTATTTAAAGATATATATTTGACCTAATGTTTGAAAAGATAATATTTTAGGTATTCTTCATGAAAAAATCATATTTTAGGCATTCTCTGTGAAAAGATCATATTTTAGGCATTCTCTATGAAAAGATCATATTTTAGGCATTCTCTGTGAAAAGATCATATTTTAGGAATTCTCTGTGAAAAGATCATATTTTCAGCCTTTTGATGGAAAATTTATATTTTTGATTCACTCTTGGACTATTTTATTGAAAGATTTCATTTATAAATTGTTAAAAGAAAAGTCTTTCTTCTATCTGAAATCCCAGGCGAGGTGGGAGACTGGAAGAACTGGTTCAGTGTGGCCATGAATGAAGAATTTGATGCCGAGTACAAGAAGAGGATGTCAGAATATAAGACCATCTACAAATATACGCTCTAACCAAAACCTGGAACTTCTTTCCTTTTTCTACCATATATTTCATTTTTTTTATGTCAAACAACAATTTAACAGACGACTTTATTATTTTTTTTGGTCAACTTTGAATGTAACATTTACATTATTTTTATTGCCTTTGTCAATTACATTTTTTTTTTATTTGAATGAAAGTTAGTTACTTTCTGTTTGATTTTAATTTTCTAACATTTAAGATTTTAAGTCAAAATAATCAACTATTATTCAAAGTTTGAATTTATTTTATCCGTCCCTCTCTATCTCTATCCCGATTTATCCGTCCGTCTCTATCTCTATCCCGATTTATCCGTCCCTCTCTATCTCTATCCCGATTTATCCGTCCCTCTCTATCTCTATCCCTATTTATCCGTCCCTCTCTATCTCTATCTCCAACTCTCTTCCTCCCTCCCACTCTCTCTTCCAATCTCTCTCTCACACAATATTTCCCCTTCTCTCTCTCTCTCCCTCTCTACCTCTTCCTTTCTTTTTCTCTCAATATTTCTTCCTCTCTCTCTCTCTCTCTCTCGCATACTCTCTTTTCCTCTCAATCTCTCTTTCCCCCTGTCTCTGTCTCTCTTTTCCTCTCTCTCTCTCTCTCTATCTCTTTCTCTCTTTCTCTCTCTCTCGCTCTCTCTCTTTCTCTATATAAAATAATTTTTTTAAAACTCAAGTAATACAAACGCATGCTAAGTATGTAGCAAAAAATATTGATCAGATCACCCAATTGCTGATTTTTTAAAAATATTAAAAATAAGTTAATGTCGAGGTAAAAAATAAAATGTACATATTTTATAATAGTGTTTCATATGAGTCAGTGGAATTAATTACAGGAAAGCAACTAGTGTCCTTTTGTCAATTTCCTTTACATTTCAAATTATTGTTGCGTCCCTTATTTTAATGCCTTTGGTTTATTTAGCCTTTTTATATTAAATATGGATAATATATATAGATATATATATATATATTTAATGAAATAATAATTTTTATGTTTATCCTAAAACTATTTATCTCCATCTATTTAGTCACGGAAGTAATAGGACAAAGAATTGTTTAAATTCTACTTAACAAACCCTTTGGTGAAATCTATTGTTTCCTATAAATTGTTACGATCTTCGATGTTATAAGAGCAACCTTATAGAAAAAAAGTTTCAATTTAGAAGCATATTTTTTGCACGTGTCAACCAACATAGCCAATAGAGTTGCTGGGCTGTTAATCAACCTTTTCCTATGGCTCAATGGTTTCAAACTATATCAATGAAATACTGGTATAGTAACATCATTTAGTCTTTAGGTTAACTAGCAGGCACAGCTTTGGCCAAATAGTAGGCACTGCTTTGGCCAACTAGTAGGCACTGCTTTGTTCAACTAGTAGGCACTGCTTTGTCCAACTAGCAGGCACTGTTTTGGCCAACTAGTAGGCACTGCTTTGGCCAACTAGTAGGCACTGGTTTGGCCAACTAGTAGGCACTGCTTTGGCCAACTAGTAGGCACTGCTTTGGCCAACTAGTAGGCACTGCTTTGTCCAACTAGTAGGCACTGCTTTGGCCAACTAGTAGCCAATGCCTTGGCCAACTAGTAGGCACTGCTTTGGCCAACTAGTAGCCACTGCTTTGGCCAACT